GGTGCTTGAGCATCACCTGGGAGGCGAGGCCACACTCCTTCCTAGCATTCGGTGAACACACATTAAAACAGGCTAGCGAAGAGGCCCTGCCCTCAAATTCCTGCAAATCGTGCACGAAGAATTGTGGGTACTTAATGCACACTAAGGATACACACATGCATCCTTCTGAAGGAAGGACTCGGTCCTCAGTAGAATTTGAAGGATCTTTGGAATTGGAACAATCCTTCTGCAGGATTCGCTGAAGTAGTCTCCTTGAATTCCAACCATTGAAGGATCCTTCCTTGACTTTGAGAAGCACCAAGTACGTTGTGCAGTGACATGTCACGCAGTCAGAGGTAACTATGTAAAGGACGTAAGTATACATAGGGATGGGAATTGATAAGTGGTGGAAGACGTACTCAGATATTTTTCTCAAGTAAAACTAATAATACTGAAGTGTAAAAATACTCTGTTACAAGCCTAAATCTTTAAATCTTGATTGCTTCCTGGTGGCTGACTGCAATATAGATCATAAAGCGCACCTTCTACATGTTAGCGGATGGGACATGAGAAAAACTAAAAACTGAAACTGCTTGCATTTGATCCGTCAGACGGGTGCTCGGGCGGGATGATGACACTGCCAGAAATCGATACTGCACAGACTCTGGCTCCAAATGATGTCACCAGCAGGAGATGGTAGCAGTATTAATTTCGTTGACAAAAACTATGACAGAATTTTTTTGTCAACGACCTTTTTTCCATGATGAACACAAGACGATGAGCTAAAGATATATTGATTAGAAAAACTAAGATGAAATCTGTGTTTCATTTTTGTTGACAAGACGTGACAAAAATGTTGGTGGACTATTGGAGATTTAAAGCTGAGAAGTAAATAGTCTGTGCCAAGATTTTTTTTGGTAGCCAGCAAAACCACTCACAGCGGAGCAGCGTCACCTGTTAGTGCAAGTTGTGAGCTGTAATTCAGCAGTAAATAATCAGCCCTAAGTGTCTGAGTGTTGAAGGTGGAACTGTTGAATGGATTTGTTGAGTTTGGTAGTTGCAGCGGTGGCTGTTGGCAGTTGGCTCTGCCTGTTAGCTGCTGATCGGCAGCGGAGCAAGCAACCAACGGCTGCCAAACTTCATAGCTGATCCCCACATTTATCATCATTTGAAAAGCTCAACATCTTTTCAAATGATGACTGAATTAAATTTTTCACAACCTGTCCCCTTGATTCTGATTTCTACATGATTTAGCCTAACTGGGTTAGTTTAAAGATAAAAAACAAAACATGATGACTAAAACGTTTTGAATTTTTGTCGACTAAAACTAGACTAAAACTGTGAAGGATAAAATGACTAAAATGTGACTAAAACTGAAACACATTTTTGTGTCAAGTTTCTAATCTAAATCTAAAACAGCTGTCAAAATTAACACTGCATGGTGATGCAATAGCTGGGATATTTTGGCTTTATTTTTGTACAGCAGGGTAATCTATAGTTACAAGGTAGTTATGCATTTAAAATTTAAAAAAAAAATATTGAAAACATCAACATATACTTAAAGTGGCTACCAAAAGTAAAGGTTCTCATTATGTACAATGGCCAATTTCAGAATAATGGAGCCTGTGTTACGTTTTTGGATAGAATTACTGTGACTTACATGTTGCAGCTGGTAAAGATGGAGCTCAATTTAATAACTTAATAAACTGCTGGGTAACTTAAGCTGTAGTAATTTGTTAGAATTATTAAGTTAATTATATTGTGTATCAATCTAAATCTGCAAAGTAACAAGTGATCTAATATATGTAGTAAAAAAGGAGTAAAAAAATACAATGTTTATATATATATTTATGTTGTAAATAATAATAACTAAATGTACTTAGGTACATTCCATCACTGGAAGTGATAAGATTCAATTGATACCAATGCCATTACTGATTACTGGTCCAATTCTTTATGTGGATTCCAGTCTGAGCATGGTGTAGAAACAGTCTGTCACTATCTAAAATGGATGAAATGAGGGAACATCTGCGCAGCATTTGTTTTCGTTAAATTTTCTTGGTCAAAGAGAAAACCTGCTGAGCCTGTCTGCGTGGCGCTCATGTTATTATAACATATTCATGTTATAATAACAGGATATTTACCTTCAGTAATGGACGTGCTGCTTGGTTGGGAAGCAGTGGTACTCGTGCGTAGATTGTCAAATACATGGCAGTTCTCATGTTGTATACCAAGATGTTTCAGCATATTGCTGACTTAAAGGACAACTTCAGTATTTTTCAACCTGGGCCCTATTTCCCCATGTGTATGTGTGCGTATGATTCATGGGTACAACTCGTTCTAAAATTGGTTCAGTATTGAGGGAGGTGGATGCAACCGGAGCCGCGAAACGAGCTAAAACGGTAACGGGGGCAAATGCATCCAGTATAAGTTTGCGCATTAAAAGTGCTTTTTTTCGCCACTGACCGGTTCAGATCGCCAATGCTATGAGTGCTATGAGTGGAGTCAGGTGTCAGTCAGTGTTGGAGCAGAGAGGGGGAGGGCTGCCCCGCTGGGTACTGTAAGTGAGTATGTGTGTATGAAGTGTGCTTTTTTTCGCCACTGACTGGTTCAGATCGCCAGTGCTATGAGTGCTATGAGTGGAGTCAGGTGTCAGTCAGTGTTGGAGCAGAGAGGGGGAGGGCTGCCCCGCTGGGTACTGTAAGTGAGTATGTGTGTATGAAGTGTGTGTTTTTTCGCCACTGACCAGTTCAGATCGCCAGTGCTATCTCTGTAAATAGCATACTAACTTAGCCTTTCCCTTACCTCTGGGCTGTGTGATGTCACGAGCTTTGCTCCACTGTTTCTGTAGCTCTCTCTACTCGTGGGACAGCCGTTTTCTTGAGGAAGAGGTGTTTCGGGATTGGATGTCTTCTCTTCTTCGGCTGGCAGTAGTCATCTTGGGAGAATTGAGCACTGCAGACCCGATGGTCTGCAAGGCGCAGTGTCTGGACGGGAGTGTTAGCATCCATTTGTAGCACAACTAGCCACAACTTCAGCATCTCGCCGTCCGACAAAGGCAGCCTATGAAAGCTGTACGGGGCGTTGCGCAACATCCTGTTCTTGCGTTCGAGAAAAAGGCCCGTTTATTTGAGCACTCCAAAAACTCCGGTAACACTCCAGGGGGTAGCACGTAAAAGACTCCATCCTCTGACTCTGACTCTTCCAGCGTAACACACACACTTCATACACACATTCTCACTTACAGTACCCAGCGGGGCAGCCCTCCCCCTCTCTGCTCCAACACTGACTGACAGCTGACTCCACTCATAGCACTAGTGATCTGAACCAGTCAGTGCCGAAAAAAAGCACTTTTAATGTGCAAACTTATACGGGACGTATTTGCCCCCGTTGCCGTTTTAGCTCGTTTCGTGGCTCCGGTTGCATCCGCCTCCCTCAATACTGAACCAATTTTAGAACGAGTTGTACCCATGAATCATACGCACACATACACATGGGGAAATAGGGCCCAGGTTGAAAAATACCGAAGTTGTCCTTTAAAATGACCATCTTACAGACATTACAAGCAACATTTTCTTTGTGAAATGGAGCCATGCTTGAAACTTCCTCTCCATCATGACTCCTTCTTACTGCAAGTTTCCAGCAGTGTAGACAAGTAAGTTTGATGTCAGAAAAACATGCCAGCATCAATAAAAGGAAGTGATAAGCTCTGTGACGTGATTCTGATGGCTCACATAATTTCTCAACTGGAACCAGTACTTAATTTCCACCCCAATTCACATGGGACACGAATAGCAGTCTCCTGGGTGAAAGTCCAGTGTTTGTTTGACCCATCCACCACCCTGAACTCCACCCTACAAGGACATTCTAGCTCTTTATCCTACCTATGGGGTCATAACATTAACCACCGGCCACTGCTTGACGTTGAACCACAGAATTCATATGTCCACCAGTAAAAGGATCCTAATTGACTTTTCATTGGCACTGTTTCTGTGGTGCTGGCACATAATTTTAACCTGAGATGGAGGCTAAGCAATCAACTGGATGGGGGCTAGCAGCAAAATGTGTTTTAGCCACCTACAAAAAGTCCCACCTAAAAAAAAATCAACATCAGTTTAAGTGTACTTACAATATTTTCACTGCTTTAACTTAATTTCAGACAGTGATTTTTAAAGGGAAAATAAAACCAATATATTGCTCTCTTCAAAGCCAGAGTCCATTGAGAAAAACAGTTGTTTAACATTACCGAACACAGGAGTTGTTGATCAACCACTGCCTTAAACAATCATTTTGTTTGTGTTATTGTTTGACTTGGGCATTTAAAAGAATTAGTTCAGATTAACTAAACTCACACAATATTACAAATGAACTAACTGACTGAAGCAGCAACAGACCAGAAGTGCCGGGTTCAGCGAGCCAAAATGACTGTTCTTGTCAATTGGTCTCTGGTGGCTTTGAGAAGAGCACAGATGGGGAACTGAGCAGCTTCCTTGTCAAAATGGGCAGTCTGATGTTAAGGTAAAGCAATGAAAACACTGTTAATATAGTGTACACTTAAACTGATATTGATTTTTTTGGTGGCTAAAATATGCTTTGTTACTGCCCTCCCATCCACAGCCAGAGTTCAGCCTGATCAGCCAAACTGGGGGCGTGCCATCTGACATTTGCTGTATGTAATACACTGGCTAGGGATAAATACCTCACACAACCTCATTTAAAAAAAATCTGAATTATCTCTTAAAGAGATCATGGTGATTTCATGTATTTCTTAGAGACCACATTGACATAAATGTAAACTATGCAGGATTTTTTATGAAAAGGAAAATGCATTCGACATGAGACTTCAAGAATACACACAATGCCATGTGGTGAATCTTCATGTTTGACTAACCTCGGAGGCTTCCAACATGTCTGATTGTCTTTTTTCTTGCCCATTCTTTTTAATGTTGCCATTGTGCTCCCAGATATCAGACATGGTCATGGTTGGTAAAGAGGAGAACAAAATATCACTAAACACGTGCTCATTTCAACACAATTTATTTACATATTCTCCATACACCTCATATTCCATTTGAAGCCTTGGCAATCTACTATTGCATGGCACTTTCAGTTCATCTTGTCAACAGTCCTTTCCCTGTACTTGTCATCAGTGCTTTCTCTTTATCCCACACTTGAGTGTTCAGATTTTGTTCTAGCACAGTCTTTACTCAGCATGTCCACCTCTGCCCAATCCACCATCACTTTCCTCTGAGCGGCTCCTAGCTATGGGCTTCAGTCAACGGGGCCCTGGAAGATGAGTTTGATGTGGCCCTGCTCTCCTGTCAACCAGGTACCACAGAAGGGGCAGGCAGCATGGAAGGCATGGGTGCCGTGGGGTAGTGGGATCTGGCTCCACCCCACCACTGTCTTTTCTGAGCATACATGACCACAGGGGCAGAAAGCGTGAGTGGGCGGCCCGGCGTCCAGGTACAATCCTCCCTCACAGCCCAGCCACAGCGGCACGTAGGGGCCCACCCGCCGGCACATGGGGCACTCCCTCTCCCCGGTGCTGGCTGGTGCCGTGCCCCCGGGTCCAGCGGGACCCTTCTCCTTACGGTAGCCCCAGTTGTGGTAGCCGTGTACATGGCCACAGTTGACATAGACCCAGGGCTGCTTCTTGTCAACAATCTCACGCTGGGCCAGACTGGGGAAGGCCAGGGTGTTGAAGCCCACAGGACACTGAGGGCGGGCGGCATTCAGCTCCTGACGAAGGGACTCCAGCTGTTTGAGGGTGGGGGTGTGGCGCAGTCCGGCGGGAGTCCTCCACAGCAGGGTGGCCCCACACAGATCAATCAGAGAACCGTCCTGGAGAGTATTGGACTCATTTTCAACCTCAAGAGGAGAACAGAAAATGGAAATGTAGCAGGGAAAGAGAAGAGAGGAGAAGAAAGGATTCATCAGCTTTCATCACTGGAGTGTCATAAACAGGGACAGAGGTGATGGTGATGCATTATGGGACATACTGGTGGGATCTGTTGAACTGGGAACAACTCTGCATTAGGCTGCTACACTAACACTCCCCTTCTGGACCACCACATGATGGCACTGTGCTCAACTTGTTACAGTTCAGACAGTTGACACCCATCTATTGGAAGAGGTTCCCTTCAAAAATACTATCACCATCATCACATACGCATTACATTTACAGATTGAGTATATTAATCAGTCAGTTAAGAGTAGTACCCTTTGACAGATTAACTTCTTGCAGGGGATGATGAAGGCATTGGAGGATTATGACACAGGCTCTGGGTTTGGGGCACCCTGAGCCCTTAGGCACCTGGGCCTGGGCTCGGTATGCCCATTAGGTAATACAACCACAGGCGCAGGTGGTTAAAGTCAACAACAAGGCTCTCTACATCTATGGTCATTCACCGCTATACTCACTGTATACAAAGGCCTATACTTCCTACTCCCTGTCTGTTATGAAATTCGTAGGTTGATTTCTAACTATAATAAAGGTGGACTGGTGTGCAGCCAATAACATGAATGTTTCCAAAACAGAGGATGTAGTGGTGGGCCGTATGAGTCACAGTGGCCACTGACCCCTGGTCATAAATGGACAGGACATCCAACAGACAGTGACCTACAGATTCTTGGGGTGTAACAATCTTTTATAGTGGGAGGTCAGTACTATAACAGTCCTGAGGGAAGATCAGCAAAGACTCCTTTTTAAGACAGCAAAAAATGTTTTTCATAAAGCACTTTGATCGGCTGGTATCGAGGGCCAGGCACATCATGCCCATTCAAGCTGGTGAGGCACTCGCCCCACTATCAATACCAGTATTTTCACAATACACTTTATTTTTTATGGGAACTGGTTTTGAGTGAGTATTTTGTGTGTTCAGGTATAATGAGACATTTTCCTGAAGTGAAACCAGTATGCTTTTAGGCTACCAGGTACAATAAAATCATTAGTCATGCTACTGTGTGCCATCCTGTCATATTACAGACATTTTTAGTATTTTTGTCTCTTAAGAAATATTAAGGATGATACAGCGAGTCCATGTCAGCCACAACAGTTACGCACACATGCATGTACATTGTAGACAATATGGCACCAAGGTAACAGGCAGCAAAAGAACAGGGGGAGCACTGCATACAAGGTTCTTTTTCAAAGAATAGTTAGTTTATATTAATGATGTAATGAATTAATGACCGAACTGATGATTAGATTTAACCATTTAAAAAAACAAATAAACATGACTGTCCCATATAGTTTAACAGTGCCCAGTGGCATCAGGGGGAAACTCGGCGGGACAAGGACGAAAGTTAAGGCGGCGAAAGTGTGATTGTGGCAGGCAGAAGGGGTGATGGATGGGTCCAACAAACACCGACTTTCACCCAGGAGAGTGGTGTTTGCGTCCTGCAAGATTCTGATGCCAGAATTTTTTCCTAAACCTAGCCATGAGCTTTTGTTGCCTAAACCCAACCATGTGTGTTTGTTGGTGAATTGAAAAAAAGTCTTTGCGGTGTTGTACCAACGTAATGCGTTTATTTCGAAAGAGACTGTATGTAACAGGCAGAATTTGACACAGTGTCCCAGAACATCAACAACCAACACACTCAAGGTACCTTGCACGTCGTATGTGGTAGTGGAAAGTCCATGACCAAACGTCGATACGTGACGAGGTCGGAGTGAATGTGTTGGTCCAAAATCCAGCAGCTTTACTACAACACATTTGCCAAAATTCATTTGAAATGAAATGTTTAAAATACTTTTACAGTAAACGTTGATGTATGTGATTAATTTAGATTAATTAATCACAGAGCATGTAATTAATTAAAGTCTTTTTTTTTTGTTAAGATTATTTTTGTGGGCTTTTGCCTTTAATAGATAGGACAGTGTGTGAAATGGAGAGAGAGAGAGAGAGAGAGAGAGAGACTGACACGCAGCAAAGGTTCGCAGGCCAGACTCGAACCTGTAACCGCTGCAGCAAGGCAATGCCTCGGTACATGGGGTGCCGGCACTATCCACTACTCTACCCACCCAAAGTCATTCTTTTAATCGCTTGACAGCCCTACTGAAAACATAATGGACCAGTTTTGGCCTGTGGGCTGTGAGTTGAGTCCCACTGTAATAATCCTCCCAAAGTGGTGTGGACAAAGTGGTGTGAATTGAAAACACAAGCCAGGACACACTGTTGTACTGTCTCCTGCTGAAGTGACACCAACAGGAAAAAAGGGACAAGACTCTACAGTATTATACAGGATGGCATTTCCTCACTTCCTTAAAAAGACTTATAGGAGGGTGTTCACTTCCCTGCATTACACTGTTTTTGTAATGGTATGCACAAACTGTACACATCATGGAATCTCAAACCTGTTGTTCTTGCCCTCATACTGATGTAATACAGTCACATGTTGCTGATCAAACATAGGACTTATTTTCCCCTCAGCCCCCTCCATCTTACCAGTTTTCCCCTCTGCTGGGCTGAGCGAGTCTCCCTCAGGGCGAAGACGTTTCCACAAACTGAGATTTCCCTCCAGACTCCCGGAGCCGGCTCAGACACAAACTCCCCTGCTGGGTGCATCACCAGCACCCCGTTGGTGGTCAGGCCGTCCATCAAGCCATCCGACGTCCTCCATTTGGCAGCCCGCTCCTGAGAGACCCACACACATACATACACACACACACACACACACACACACAGCAGACAGACGTAAAGGTTAGGGGGATGTGGGGAGGCACAGAGGGATGATAGTGGAGGTGCATGTCAGAGGTGGCTGGCTAGAAAAAACAGCTAACGTGGCTTTTCTCTGCTGCTATATTTAGCTCAGTACAGAATGACTACTGTACTGACTAATGCACAGAGATGTGCCCACGCAAAACAATGAACCCATCCCTGAGAGAAAGAAAAGATGTATTATGAACACAAATGAGCTCCGATGGAATGAAACAGCAAATTTCTGGCATGTGTGGCTTCATTTAAAAAAAGCTGTCAAAGGGCCAGTGCAGTTAGAAAAAAACAGGCTGGAGATTTAGAGGCTGTTGCTGCTCTGGAGGAAAGAAGAATTTCACTGGATGGTTTCAACAGTAATATGTAAGGCCAAAGAACTCTACTTTCTTATATCACAAGTTCGCAAACGTAAAGCTGCACTAATTAATAATTAAAGAACAGTGAGTCAAATGTATATGAATATAATGTAATGTGTCTCTTAAGACATAGCCTACTCATAAAGAGGAATTATTATCAGCTCTGCAGTTTCTTTATAGTCTCTTTTCTGCTTATTGTTTTGGTTTTTACAGTCCCCTCGAAAAAACTCTTGGTTCAGTATTGCTGCTCTCATCAGATTAGTTTAGTGAAAAAGCTCATATAAACCCACTGTACACAGAGAGTGGTCTCTGAAACTGGTGCCCTTTAAACCCTTTAAAGATTTTCAATTGAAGGAATCCACAAAATATATTTTACTTATAAATATGGGTTGTTTACACAACAAATATGATCATTACATTTGTATAGTAAGTATCACACAAATAAAATTGCAATTAATACCACAATTTTGCTGCTATCATAAACATATTTGTCTGTTATAACTAAAGATATATCTTTATTAAAAAATTCATGAATGAATCTCTCAAGTTGCAAGATTGACACACGTCCCCTAATTTGTTTCCAACACAATCATGCCATAGCATTTACCCCTATAAAAAAAAAGATGGATCAGTCCCTGTGACATCAGAAAGTAACATCACACAAGTTTTTGAAGAACATGCTGCAAAGAAAGGCAAGAGTGTGTCTCAAATTGCATACTTCCATTTATACACTTCAATCTGGTACACTATGTACACCATGTACTTCTTGCGATGTGCATTCATTTCAACAGGACAGTGTTGTCAAAAATCGTGCACTGCCCACTGCACCAGAAGTGACCATCCCTTTCTTTAAGCTAAGAGCAAGTTAGCTAGTTAGCTAGCTAGCTAATGCTAACATTAGCTAGCAAGTTTAAGTTAGCATTCCTATTTTTGTTCATGGTACCAAATCATTGCATATCTAACTAACATTACTAATGGCTTCTATTTGACAACACTAATGGTACTGCAAAAAAAAAACCTGTATATCTAACAGGCTCCTTGTTGTCCCCAGCTGCCAAGTCAAAAGTTTAGTTTGCTACGTCAAAAAGATGGCGACCATTGAGAATGAGAAGTGTCCATCATTCTACACTCAACTTTTGGATTGCCTGAGTGTGCAAACAGTACACTGCATTTTCCCGTACTATGCAGTGTGAACACACTTAGCACACCCAAAATATTAAGTGTTTAGTACAGAAGTATGAGATATGAGACACACTGCAGGTGTTACTATCTTTTCATGCATATATTTCATTTTTTTTTTTATCAGATTAAGATTTTCAGGCTCAATATTTCTACTCTGTTGTATGGCTAAACACTTGTTTTAGGGAAAAAAAACCCCATTTCTTAATTTCTTGAATGCCATGTGTTGCTATTGTCTTAGCTACATATTTAGTTATGGCTACAATAGCCAAACATTTCCACCCCGTTATTAAAATGTGACAGAGTCAAATAAGGCTTGACCAAAAACAGAGCTAAAAGGAGAGTGAACATTTGGTTTACATTCGCGGTGGACACAATTACCTCCAAATAACTGCCTATGTTGCTCTTTGTCTGCTAGATGTTAACAGATGATTGTTTGCTAACACATTAGCCATATTAATTTTATAAGGTGATAATATGGGTAATGTTATGTTTTCAGCTTGTTGCAATGCCCCCAAGTGGCCAAAAAACACCAAAACAAAAACAATGCTCATAAGAAACTGCTAAAAATATGTTGGCAAGCAGGCTTAACAGCAAACAGTAAACAAAGAGTAAAAACATTTTTCAAGTTTTCGTTGTTAAAACAATTTTGATGCAGAGGGTGTAACATAAAAGTATGCAGTCAAATCTGATTTTTTTTGGGCAACAAGTTAAATCTCGCTAATCTTATAAACCCAAATTTGACTTTGTTAGCTTGTGGGTTTTAACAACTAGCAGAGTTATAATGTGGGTCCAAGGTGTGTGTTTGGATATAACTTAGTAAAAGCTTTGTTGACATTTTCAAAAAAGTGTGGTTCTCACATTGGTTCTCCAGAAACTCATGCTCACTAAGTCACTTAGCAATTCCTTCTCGAAAATACCCTGCCAGCATACTCAGTTTCACTACGAAATACAGACTGTCATTTTACTGAGACTTCACAGACATGAGTAGGATTTGAACATTTCGTCTCTCATGATTGTATCAAAGAAGACACTTAGGCAGACAGCAGGGCAGACTGCCTGGAGCTGTTACTGTGTCCGAAATAAAACAGAGCAACTGGTGGATCTGTTTCAGAAGCAGCCAAATAAATCATGGCTTAATGTCCTGTCATGTTGCTTTAATAAAGAAGACTAAAGGCCTCAGTATGCCTCAGATCAACTAAGTCTCTTTTTAAAGTGGGTGTGATTGTAGAACTCTCTGACCCTGTTTACACTTGCTTTTGAAATTCGTCTTGGGCAATTAGATCGCAAGTGGACAAAATGCAAGTGTAAACGACCACCAAAACAGATTACGATCCAATCGCTCAAACCATCTGCTGAGGTGGTGTGGGAATGATGACGTAGGCACTAGGGGTGGAAATCAACAGAGGATCCACAATACGATATTATCACGATACTTAAGTCACCATACAATATAATTGCAATTTTAAATTTGTTACAATATGTTGAGTACTGTGATAAAATATATTGCAATGTATTACCTGTTTTCAACTGTAAATTATGTCCCTAAATAAAAACCTTGTCAACATTGGTTCTATCTAATAAGACATCTAATAAGTTTTTAGTCTGTTCATCTCACTTCAACCATTTTTTTCACAGCAGCAAAATGTATCTAGTGGACTGAAAAAGCAATTGATTATATTATTCTAGTCGACTACCTAAAGTTTAATTTGTAATTGTAATATCAATCACTTATGTAATAAAAAACTGATACTTGGCTCTGTGTGACGTTATAATATTGCCACACAAAAATACTGCGATACTGTGCTGAATTTTTTTCAGTTTTTTCTCCCACCCCTAGTAGGCGCTGATGTTTCCAGTTGCCTCTATCAGCAACACCAAACTCATGCTAAATTTAGGCTATGATGTCTTTTTTCAAGTGTTGGTGGTACTTTTTGGTGAGTTTTTTTTTTCTTAAAAAAAAAAAAAAAATTACAGATTGACTCTTAATTCATACAGAAGTGAAGAGCGGGCTCCTGGGTGAAAGTCTGGGGTTTGTTGGGACATAATAACAAAATCTCAAGGTTTGTAACTTTAGGGTCTTCCTATACTTAGTCATGCATTATTTATCAATGGTACAATAACAGTCCACATCCATCACACAGTTCAGAGGTGAACCACAGAGCCTGACTTTTAATAAAAGGACAATATTTGTTCCATAGATCAGTGTAAATGTAGTCCTGGCGGCTGGGGGAGTTATACAAGCTGCAGTTGTGTGTGTGTGTATGTGTGTGTGTGTGTGTGTGTGTGTAGCACTGGTTGCTGACGTTATCTCTCTGACTGCTGGCCTAGTTGTCAGGGGTCCTGATAAATCTTGCATGGGATGAAGTCATGCTGTCATGAGAAAGGGCTATTATTGGTTCGCATAGCTTTGTGCACCTACTCGTCACGTTTTAGACCACCCCACCCCAGTAGCTTCTGCAGTGGTCTGGAAGCTTTCACATCCTGAATTACATCAAAGAGGAGTCTGCTAACTCAGGGAACACTATAAGTACAGTACAGGGGAAAATAACAACTATCTAGTTCGTTAATTTGGGGGGGGGGGACATGTTTTACATGCCATTCCAATATTGAAATTAGTTAGTTCTTGTTAGCTGAACTGTGCAGTGAGGTAAGGTTCCAAACAGCCCTACTCACCGAACTGGAGATACAGCAGGACAGATCCCGGTGGAGGACTGCTGAGCTGGCTTGATGGTGCATGACTGTGCTATGTTAATGAACATAAGCAGGCACTTTTTATTTAAAAGGATAGTTCTGATCTTTGCAAGTGGGGTTGTATCAGGTACTTTGGAATTTAGGTATTCTGGTTGTAGTTTTGGTAGTCTTTCCTACCAGTAATGATAAAACTGTAATCACCAAGTTACAGGAGAATTATGGGTTATTATTGTTTGGGTTTAATTTTGTACCTTTGACCATTGGTTATGATAATATTGTACTCTTCAAAGTGAGAGCTGAGGTCTTGGGGTGTGTCTACACCATGAAAAATAGGTCCAACATGGTGAGAAATGAGTCAGCAGGGTGTAAACAAAACAGCAAACCCCTAATCCCATATCTCAATATGTAATTCCTATACAATTTTATCATGACTAGTAGATATTATGGCCAAAACTATGAAAGTACGGCACCAAGATTCTAAACTACTTGGTCTATCACATAGCACACATTGAGTGTTTAAAGGATTAGTTTTTTGAAGTGGGTTGTATGGGGCACTTATCCATAGACAGTACATTACATACAGTAGATGGAGGTGTCATCCCCCCAGTTTGGAGAAGCAGGAGAGTCTGACACTGAAGATAAGTAATCTACTGCTGTGGATGGGTCAGCAGCACAGCATATGTTAACCACCTAAAAAAGTCCCAAAAAGTCCCTATAGAAATCAATATCAGTTTATGTGTACACTATATTGAGAGTATTTTCACTGCTTTACTTTGCTATCAGATTGTGGTTTCCAACAGGAAAATGAAGATGTTATAATTCTCTCTTCAGAGCAAGACTCCATCATGAAAATGTTTTTATTTCATTTTATTTCATTTAATGTCTGACACTGAAGCTGCTGGTATACCACAGCCTCAAAGAGTTATTTTGCTTAAATTACTATATGTGTCAATGGAGTCTGGTTTCTTTGACAAGAGCATAGAGGGGGAACTGAAATCATCAATGGCTTTCCCGTCAGAATGGACTGTCTGATGGAAAGGTAAAGCAGTGAAAATGCTCTCAATATAGTATACACTTCAAGTGTACTGATTTTAGATGGGACTTTTTTAGGTGGCTAAAATATGTTTTATTGCTGACCCCCATCCACAGCAGTACATTTCTTAGCTTGAGTGTTGGACTTCAGCCTGCTTCTCCAAACTGGGGACGAGCTGACTGACATCTACTGTATGTAATATACTAACTATGGATAAGTACCCCACACACAGCTCTTTAAAAAACATAACTGTCACTTAAAAGACAGACTAATATGCTGAATGTTATGTAGTATCTTCCAATAGATTGAGACAGCAACATATGACCAGAAGCAGGACATTAGAGCCAAAGCACTTTCATATGACACATGACTAACACAACCAAATCCCTTCTACACAAATACACACACGAGGAGAATACTGCTTCTTCCTCTCCCATCCTTCCTCAAGACAGGTCACATACACTGACACCCATCCGCGCAGCTATGATGTCACCCGTGGGCTGCACAGCCACGTCCCCCAGTGTCGCTCTCCCCATGGTTGCCAAGGTTACCAGTCCCTGTGTAATTTACCAGGAGATGCCTGGCACCCACAAGGGAGAACACTCACCCCCAGGAAGATGTTCTTGGAGGAGTCAAAGCCGGCTGCGTAGATGCGGGCCGTGTAGGGAGCGCTGCGTTCGCACATGATGCGGCATGCGTAGCGGGAGATGGTGCTCTGGGCCGATTGGCCTCCGCCGCCACCTTCGCCTGCTGCACCCCCGCCCCCGCCCTGACCGCTGCCACTGCCTGCTGTGTCCGTCACCACAAAGTCGATCATGCTCTCTGTGGACCGGCCAATCTGAGAGAACCAGTAGAGAGAAATCAGGATCATAAAACAATCGTAAAAAGATCAACAGTACACAAGTACAATCTGTTGGTACTATAGAGTTAGTTCACACGAGCTAGATATCATATTGTTTCTCTTATAGTGGAGTTATCTAGCCATGCAAATAGAAAAGCTTTTATTTCTGTTTTTGTATGTATGAATCAATATTTAACATGGCATCCTTAAGATGAACTGAGTATAGTCAATCCTCTACTTCACTATCAGTTCATTTTCACATTTGAGCTCCCTTCAATAATGACTAAAAGTGCTGTTGCGTCAAAGTGTTGCCGGATGGAGTATTTTTCTATCTATTTAGGCTACTTATCATGATTTTGTTGTATTTGAGATTTTGGGCTCTTTTTTGTATGATTTGGATTTTCTTTTTGTAGCCCTGGTCATCGCTTCTGTCAGTTCAGATCTGGAGAAATCAGTGGCCAAGGGGGCGCTATGGCCACCCTACAATTGCTGGCCCCCTACTGACAAAATCTGATCAGTTTATTGTTGAGTTTGAGTGGATGTTTGTGCCAAATTTGAAGAAATTCCACCATGGTATTCTTGAGACATTGCTTTCACAAGATTAAGATGGATGAGGTCAAAGTGACCTTTGACCACTAAAATTTAATCAGTTCATCCTTGAGTCCAAGTCACCGTTTGTGCCAAATTTAAAGAAATTCCCTCATGGTGTTCTTGAGATATCATGTTGACAAGAATGGGATGGACAGATGTATGGACAACCCGAAAACATTACGCCTCCAGCCACACCGAGGTGTAATAAGAAACCGAGGTATATATCAGTATGCAATTCCTGACCTCTGTTTTCAACGAGCCTATATACTACAATAGCATCACTGAATACCTTAAATTCAGTTGTGGCCTTCAGTTTTTGGTGTGCCACCCAAAGATTTTCAGTGGCCCCTTATGGCCAATCCTATGAAAAACTTTTGGGGGTGCCACTGGGGGACACATTAGACAATCAACAGTTTAGTCAGAAGAGCAGCCTAAGAAAACTAAAAAGTGGACACAACTACAGCAAGTATAGTAGCTCAAAGTTGAAGCAGGAAGTTGGTCTGCAAACTGTGATGGCTATTTTATATTTATCTGATTGTCTGACTGCTCGCATTTGTTTGTCGTCTCTTTTAAGGTGCTCTCAGACAGCGAGTGGGTGCTGCTCCCACCTCCATTGTTTTCAACATGACAGCAGCTGTGTCGCTGAGGTCAACAACAGCAGCACAAAGATATGACACACAATGATATGGGAGCTACTAGGGCTGCTTGCTGTTTGAAAGCACCTTTAGAGATGTTGCCACCCCTCAATATCCCATTAATTACTTAATTAAGCACAATGCTGTCATAACGGCCAAGGCTGCATAAAGTTATACAAAAATTAAACCATCAACAAACTGAACTTCCTAATGAGCTGAACAAAGGAATGAGCAGCACCTTTCTTGAGTCGTAATCTATTTCTTAAATGGTATTTTCCAATGCTATGAGCAGCATAAAATGAATTCCATTCACCTCAATTGTATCACAGTGGAGGCTGAACTCTCAAGATGGATATCTAACATACATCTATAAAAATGGACAGAGCAAACCATGTGGGTGAAGTGACTCTTTAACACAGCAGATGGAGACAGACAGACGTGGAGAGATTGAGAAGAGCCCTGTTGATTCTGTCTGCTGGAGTCATGGCTTTGCATGGATCTCCTTGATGATGAGAGAAGGTGGTTGGAAAACTGAGAGCAGACAGGTCTGACTCAACTTCTCCTGTATATTTTATCTCCTCAGTCTTTTGTCTTCCCTCCTTCTGCCTGATACTTTGGCTTACACTTCGTCTTCCTCTTCATTCCTTCCCTCTGTTCTCTCTGATGTTCTCACAGCTCTACTGTTCTTTGATTCTACAGGGCTCACAGCGTCAACTACAGTTTGACTAAATATTAAAATCTGAAAGACACCCTAAAGAGTGGTTCAACATTCTGGGAAGTAGGTTTATTTGCTTTCTTTCTGAAGGATGAGATATGATATCAATCTCATGCCAGCACGTTCTGTACAGATCTGGAGTCAGGGAGTCTGGAGTCTGGAGTATTATGTAGCGTATACACTAAAACTTTTTTGTTTCAACAACACTGTGATTAATGTGTGGTTAGGTTTTAGTCATAAAAAACACTAGTTATGGTTATGAAAAGATCACGTTTTGGTCACACTCTGATGTCTCCCTAAATAACACCCATGTTTGGGGGCTAAAAAGTCACAGGAAAAACAGTGACAGGTCCCTAAAAACCACATACATTTGAGAGCTGAAACACTGCTGGAAAAACAGTGGAGGGTCCCTAAAAACATTCATGTTTAGTGCCAAAAGAATTGCTGGTTAGGCAACGATTTCCTGAAAAACAACTGGTTTTGCTCTTTGTTGGTCTTGAACAGTGGTCTGGGCTGATCCTTCATAATGCCTCTCCCTTGTGGAGTCCCTCAGGGTTCTATTTTCAGCCAAATCCTTTTTTCCGTTTATGTGCTCCCCTAAGAGTCCATTCTTAGAATATTCAGCCTCTCATTCCACTTATATGCAGATGACATGCAAATTTACCTGCCTATGACATTGACAGATGCAACCTCTTTTAAAACCATTGAGAGTACAGCTGAAGTGGTACCTGTGTTGCCCCTCATATGGACCTGTGTGACCTGCCTTCACTGTCTCCCTGTATGTTTTAAGATCTTGATTTTAAGAGCTTATTGTTTGCCTACAAATTGTAAATGGGTTAGCTCCAACTTATCTTTTTTACAACCACGGATCCCATTGAGCTCACTCATGTCCGCTGACCAATCGCTTTTGTTTGACCCAAGATCTAGGTTGAAGCACAGGGGAGACTGTACCATTGCAGTTGTAACCCTCTCTGGAATGAGTTACCTCTGAATGTTGAGCTGGACCCTACACTCCCTTTTCCATCTTAAAAACACATCTTTATTCCTTGACTTTTAAGTCAGTATGATGGTTGCTTTTATTACTTTATTGTTCTTTCATCTTTTAAATTGGTTTTATTGTGGGTTTTTTTTAACTATTGTTATATTCAGATGTGCTTTATAAATACTTTATAAATACTTTGAGATTGGAATGGAAATGTTTAGTCCAAGGGGCAACCTCCAGGGCTGAAAATGAAGCCAACACAAAGTATCAAAAGCTGCAGTCAATCCCAATGGACCCCCATGTTAAAATGCCGAACTCTAAAGCAGAAATAAACATGATTACAGCCTGCTACAAAGGGTCCCTCGGTTTTGGTCTCTATAGCTAACTTCCCTGTTCATGACAACTGTACGGTGGTGAATTGTTATAAAACTCACCTATATAAATCTTATTGAGGCTTACAATTACACACAATTAAGGGCTTGGGTGCTTTGAGTGACAGGTGGGTGCTGTCTGTTGACAAGCTTGCTAACTTGTCGACAATGCTGGTCAGGAAAGGTAGCCATGGCATAATCCCAGAGTCACAGTTTAGGCATAGTCGTAGTTGACGCTAATTCAGTGTGTTTTCAGTCCATGAGGGTTAACTGAATTGTTTTCCGGTAGGCTAAGTACAATTTGTTTTAATCGTTTTACATTTTTCGCTAGTGAAAATGAGTATAAACATTAGTATTTTCACAGTTTATCATAGCTGTAAATGCACTGTGTTAACCAAACTAGCAGCTGGGTTTACTGTATGTGCACACCAAAAGCTGCAAAAGCTGCAAAGCAGCCGACGTCACCCAAGCAGCACCACTGTCCAAAATATTTTTGGCAGCTCAAGTCGCTCATGACGTCATATATTCGAACATTCGATCGTACTTGTCAATTTAAAGGAGCCGCAAAGCAGGTTACTGGCTGGAGCACAGCTCTCCAGCCCCAAAAGCTAGGCTACATGAGTAAAGAAAGAAATCGTCACATTCACATGAAACAAGAGAGATTAGCATGCTAGGTGTTATATTGCCATGGATGTATTCGCCACTAGTTTAAAAAATTCTTTCTCAATATCAGCTCACGAGGCAAACCAACTACTTGGGACACGGCTTCCCATGCCTGCTCCTTTTGATTTCGGTCCCTATATATAAACAGGCTCGAATCATAAAGGACTCAGTGTCCAGTTACAGCAGTGATTAGCTTCTCTCTCATTCTGAAGTAGGAACAAATGTATGGTAGGAACTAAAATTTGCAGTCATTTGCAGCTGAAATGCGTCATAGCTAATTTGCATAAAGTTCACGACTCCCCAACTTTCATCTGAGGCTCTGGTTGCCAAAACGCCGATGCTTTGCAGCTTTTGCAGTCACGGTCGCCGGTAACCATTGAAAATGAATTGAATCAGTCGTCTTTGCAGCTTTTGCAGCTTTTGGTGTGTACGTACAGTTAGAGTTAGCTCCACCCTCTTGGCAAAATATGGTCACTTCTGGCTTCAAAATCCAAGATGGTAAATGCCAAAATGCCAAACTCAAGGCTCAAAGCGGGAGTCCACAAACAAATGGGTGAGGTTTCAGTGTCTAAGTCCATTATACATTCAATGGGTTAGCTTAGCTAAGACTTGGTGAAACAAATAACCTGGCTTTGCCCAAAGTAAAAGAAAGTACCAAAACCTCTAAACATTACTTGTTAATAACTTTTATCTCATTTAATTCAAACAAAAATGTAAAAGTGACAATACTGTGGTTTTAATGGTAAACATAATTCTAAAAATAAACGAATAAGCAAAGGTCTGTGGATAAGCAGCAGAACTGACTGTCCTTAAACCTGCTTTAGAATGAGAGTGGAGCACAGTGGAAGCATAGCACAAATTACTGATGCATTCAGTGCCAGGATGCAGAGTTGTGGATATTACTAGGCCTACATTAAACTAAGATATTGATTTCATAATAAAATTAGGTTGGCTACAGTGGCTGTAAATGGCTACTTTTCATACAGGCTATTAAAGGCTTGTGGTGTGGATGGAAGAGATGTATCCAGAACAAAATAATAAAACAATGTGACTATCTCATATGGCAATACAAGAGGCCCACATTTAAATGATTGATATTACCAGTACTGTTGATAAATACTAATATTTTTTGTATAACAACTTTTCTCCTTCCTTTAACTTAGACTGAACACAATTAGCTTTCCCTACTGTAAAATTTACCCACCACTCATAGTGCCAAAATGTCCACAGAAGTTTCTCAAACCGTTCCTATAGCATGATCCACTTCTCCACTGTTCACCAGTACATTAAGTATGTTTCAAAATTTTTGGAGGGTGTTTGTTGGCTAAGTTCTAAGTGGGGTACTCTTGTCTATTTATGGTACTTTTTAATGACGTTCTTACAGTCAACATGCCTCTGTTTTGACTTCTAATATTCTTTTTCTACAGTACGTCACATAGCTAAAATGTTGAGTTGGCATGACATATGTGCACATACATGTTTGCGTGTGTGTGTGTGTGTGTGTGTGTGTGTGTGTGTGTGTGTGTGCAGACACTGACCTGAAACATATCTGTGTTGGTGTCATGGGTGTACTCCACAATGACAGAGTGGCTCCGTGACAGTGTGTAGGAGATGCTGTGCTGGCTTTTGTTGCTGAGTGCCTGCCAATGGAAAAGACATTATCCAGGTCACATGACAAGGAGAGCTGAAGGTCTGGCCTCTGGGATAATCTACCCAGAGGACATATCCTATTCTAGAGGAACAACCCCAGCTCTAATTAAAATGACTGATATCATTCTATCAGCTGACTTATTGTTATGCTGAAGAGAGATCATCCAGTGTTAAGGTACAACGTGACAGGTGTTTTTTTTTTGTTTTTTTCAACAACATGTAAGAGATAATTCAGAACATATACAATAGATCATATTCACAATGTATGCATACAATACAGTGTAGTGCTTTGAGCTAAATGCTAACATCAGCATGCTAACATACAACACGTAATTTTGATTTTCACCATCTCCTATAAGCTCAACACTGATGTAGACTGACAATTGAATTGTTAACTGAAACCATTATCCATATATTATATATTTTAATGCCATATGTAGGAAAATGAAATATGACCATGAATAATATTCCATAAATAAGAGTGTTTCAAGGCTATTTTTGGTTGACATTTTGGAAATCAAACTGCCAACACATGGTATTTAGTGGCCATTCACATAAATATCTTTAAATTGATCCATTTTCGAGCAAAAATGGCAAGAGTATATATTCATTAAAGAGAACATTTTTGAAAGTCCATGCTTATTAAAGGTGTGCTATGCAGGGATTGTCGCTGTTTGTAAAATGTATCATCAGCTAAAGAGAAAGTTAAAGTGAAAGCCAACCACAGATTCAGTCTTGCTGGCTGTATTTGCTTTTTTTTCTGCGCTGCATCAGCAATTTTTGTAGCTTCCTTTTGGATGCATGCCGCTTACGGTTTGGCACCTGGTTGCTTACCTTTTTGTAAAAACTGTCCTAACTGTGAGTTAGTGCTTTCTTGCTATCAACTCAGATTTTTCAAATGAATGTGTTGGTGTTACAGAAGAAATCGTCACTTTCACTGCTGATGTACTTTGTAATACATTTTTCTTTTGTTCTATATTCTAGAATCTAGAATAAAGAATGTGGTTCCTACCTGGGTCAGGGAAAACACCTCTTCATTTTGAATGACAACCTAAACTGTAACAATCAGTGCTGCGACCTCTCACCTTTGACACCAGAGGGGTTGAGACATTGTGGATAACATCAGGTTTGACCCCGTTGGCTTTAGGTCTCTTATACAGGGCCAGGCGACTTCTTCTACGACCCTTGTCCCCATTGGCCAGAGACCCATTGTGCCTGTGAAGCATAACCATAAATAAGCATAAATGTACTGACCTATGTAAGGGATAATGCTCTATGAGATGTACTATATCAAGAATTAATGGACACCCTGCAATCAATTAGAAAATTCAGCCATACCATGGTATAAAATAATGTCAATAACTGGGTTAAATTGATAATAAATGTACTGTGTGTTTTCCTGTTGTTAATTCTTTTCCAAATTCTAAGTGCCAACTTTATGCACTACACAGTGGCTTAAAATTTCAAACATAAAACTAAAAATGTGGTATCAACTACTTTTTGCTAAAATTCCCACACTATAACACTTTACCTTTGATGGATACTGTATATTAAGTGTTGTTTTCAACAATTTCATATGTCATAGTGGTGTAGGATGCGGATTAAATAAAGGCTTAGCTAAAATCAAATTAAGTCAAGTCAAATCATGAGATGTTAGGCTAAACATAAAATTGAGACATGGCCCAGAATAAAAATTTAAAAAAGACTTACATAATAACCCCCAAATCATAAAAAAAACATCACAATCAACTGAGTATTTCACATAATTTAAATATATAAGGAAGAGTAAGGCTGGGTTTAGACTACATGATATTTCTATCTGTTAGAATGGTCAGTGAGTCAGATGAGTATAAGGTCACAAATTCCTGGTTGTGACTCAGCCAAGAGTAATGACAGACTTCATATTAGTTTATCTGTGTCAGTTCCACCTTGCAACACCAACATCTTTATCTTTCACATCATTCTGTCTTTCCCTTTGCCATGTTTATAGCTGAGGAGTGCTCTGCAATCCAATTGGTCAAAGTCACGAAACTAAAGAAACACGTAGTGGAAGGCAAAAGAAATTCTAACATCCTAGTCTTTCTCTTGGGACTTCATGAGGCATCCCAACAGAGCACTGGTTGTCATCAACTATGACACACTACATGGGACAAAATGATGGTGGCACCCGATGCCCATTGTTGATCCTAATCCAAACTGACACCCAGCGTCTGCTAGGTCAGGCTATAACTGGGCTGATATCATGTAGCCTAACCTTAACAAGGGCTCTAAAACTGATCCCTGTGGGATGCCACACATGATTGCTCCTGGGTCTGTTAAGATTCCACTGATACCTACAAACTATATGATTACATTGGTAAAATTTAAGCTAAGTATCTACTTGGTTATCACATGCAATAACCTCAAATTTAATGCTGCATCAAATGCCTTTTGAAAGTCAAATAGGACTGTACCTGTATATAATTCATTATCCATTATTAACCTGATTCTGTCAGTCAGGGTCAACAAGAGCTGACTCTGTGGAATGAGTTCTTGAACCCAGATTAGTACTTATATAGCACCAAACTGGTTATATACAACTCACTCTAAAATTAATGCCACTGGACAGGTCAAATATGATATCCCTTGATTTATTTCAGATTGGGTGAGTTATCCAGTATTACCAGCCATAATTATTCCATATTATGCTGCATTTATAGTCACCAACACTCTCTGCAGTCATGTTCTGCTGGCCACAGAGCAGCCATGATTGGATGGATGCTGTAAGATGTCGGTGGCAGGTAATCCCCCCCTCTCTCTATAATCACATTGACAGTGAACTGCGCCACTCTCATCATCCATCAAGTGTTCATCATCCAGTGCATGGATCAATAGGTCGAAGAGTGGAAGCATATGTCTGTGTCTCTGTGCCTGGAATAGCACCATACCATGCCTTAGGGAAAGATATCCTTCCCTTGCACTCATATGCAATGCATAACATGTCTATGTGTTAGGAGTTCCACATGGAAGTTACAGTATAAATTTGCCACTGTGGCTCAGTACGGTATTTTACAGTAGTAATATGGTTTCATTCACCTCCACAGTCCCCGGCTTGTCTAACAGAGGAATCCCTAAGAGATGTGAAGAGGTTTTTGTGAGGGCAACTGAAACAATGTCATACTAATCCAACACAGACATAGAAGCACAAGCTGAATTGTTTCATCTAGCAAAGGCCTGCAATGAGAAAAAGGAGCTTATCTTTATTGTTCAAGGTAGGCAATTAACTCTGCATGTGCCTGGTAACCTACTGGATCCATTTGACTTACTACTAGTCACTGTTATTTTTAGACTAGTTAGGTTTCTAAATCAGTTACAGTGGTTCTTCAACAGGGGTCTGTGATCCCTAGGGGTCCTAAAAGTTACTACGGGGGGTGTGTGGGGGTGGCTGGGGGTCTGTTTGATCATTTCGTTTCATTTCCAAATATTTTTTCCATTAAAATATGCCTGAAAATACACCTATCTGAATTTTTGGCGCAAAGATAAATCAGCTTGTTAATAATAATGATAATAATAACGGTAATAATTTACAGTACACAACATTAATGATAAGCTTACTGTTACCGATGAAACTTTGTGCAATCCTGTTAACTAGCTAACACCTAATCACTGTGTTGCACCTATCCATAATGGCAAGGTAAACTAGTTAGCTAACATGTAGTAAGGGGTCCCTGCTCCGTATCTCTTTCAGCCACGGGGTCCTGAAAAATGTTGAAGACCCCTGACTTAGAGAAATAGCTTGGTTAGGATGCTAAAATTAGGACATGGCTGGTCTAGCTTAGCATAAACTCTGAAAGTAGGGGGAAGCAGCTAGCCTTCCTCTGTTGAAAGTTCAAAAATATACCAACCAACTAACCAGCCTCTTAAGATCACTAATCAACATGTTGTAAGCCTATCGTTTGATTATTTTCCATATAAACAGAAATGTAAAAATGAAAATTTGTGACTTATGAAGCTAGACACCTTCAAAGGAAAAGTCTGACATCCTGAAAAATACTTGCATTCACTTTGAGAAATAGATGAAAAGATTGATACCACTCTCACATCTTTACAGAAAACATAAAGCTACAGCCAGCAGCTAGATAGCTTAGCTTAGCTTAGCACAAAGACTGGAAACCATGGATGTACAAAGAGAACTGGATTTATGGCATTGTAGGTGGGGCCCCATCTGAAAGTTACTCAGTGGCGCATAGAGCCAAAAAAGTTTGACTTGGGTCTTAAATTACTTGGAACCTTTGTATCATTGGACCCATGGAACAAGCGCTGCTAGCTGCTGGGCCACTTAAGCCCAACTTAAATGGTGATAAAATGATTAATCTTGCGGCTCTTACTTTTAAAATGTTATTGGTCCGAACGGATCAAATCCTGATAGAGAAATTAGTCATTTTGCAAGGGTTGTGACTCTTGAAAAAAATGTATGAGAATGATTTTCAGACATCTCTTCCACAATATAAGTCTTTAAGGAAAAGTCTTCTTGGGCCAAAATGTTGAACTATTTCTAAATAGAATGTGTTTATCCCTTTAGATTTAGGGTTTTCAGGCAAAGTGTTTATTTAACTAACACTATGCAACATGACTCTGACTTTGAGCATAGTCATTTCATAATCTGTCAGCGTTCTGCTTACAGACATAAAATGAATACTTAAATGTACTCTCACACAGATCTGAATGTGCAAAACCAGAGTACAGGTGTTGTTTTGTTCACTGGCAAGACACAATTTGCATTTGCCTGTAAAGGAGTGCACTGAGCCATGGACAAATGCAAAACGAACACTTGGACCTATGGGGCCCTTGGGCCTTCAGAAGTCAATCCACGGATGATAGTAAGCAGACAATACTGTATTGTGTATCCCTCCATTTAGCAGTTATATCTCAGGCAACATGTCAAGATGCCATTAGTCAGATTTTGGTGAAACCTTGGCTGCTAATACTTCGCACTTCTACTGTTTTAACAATAACTCTGAGAGGTTGGTTACTTTGATTGGGTTGAATGGGGATTCCATATGATGCTCGTCTCAAACATTAAGGTTAATTTATAAAAAGCAACATTTGAAAAAGACCCAATTACACACAGACACAAAGACCACATCATTATATAGTGACCTTATCCAGCCCATTCAAATTGGCTATAACTCATACTCAGTCGGACACTCATACTCAGCCACAGACACACACATTAAGACAATGTACATCAGTAGATATGACACTTGAGTATCTCACCCTAAGACGATGAGCTCGCCGTACTTGACGGGCTCCTTGTCCTCAGGGAAGACTCCGTCGTGGGGTTGTGAGCTTGAGCCCAGAGGAGGCGAGGGCTGGCTCTTATTGCAGGATGGGCGCAGCTCCAGAGATGGCGGGGGACACAGCGCCTCTGAGCTACCCTCCAAAACCATGCCCACCGGCCACAACTGGGGCTCGCTGCTGGGGAGGGGAGGATGGAGGTTCAGAGAGAGAGAGAGAGAGAGAGAGAGAGAGAGAGAGAGAGAGAGAGTCAGAAAATCTTGTATTAGTGATCAAGGGACTTAATTTAAATGTGTCAGAATAGCATGTGATAAAACACTGGATGACATCTGAAAGAAGTACACCAAATTTGGTAGAGAAAAATTAGAGAATGCGGTGGAAAATACCAGAATTATCTTGTGAGTTCTGAGCTTTCTCACAATCTCTCACAATCTTATCTAATAAAAACAAAATGGATACTTGGCAATGTGTGATGATACAATACTACAACACAAAAATATCACGATGTTATGCTGTATGGATTTTTTCCCCAACCCCTCCTGGGAAGATGGGCAGGTCACCGAGGAGGAAGTGGGTACACTCTCCTATATATTCCTTCCTATATATTATTTTGGCTGAGAGCTGGGTATATTGTAAGTGGCCAGAAAAAGAAAGGGGTATACCCTGTATACCTGTGGATACCCTCTACTACACCACTGGTAAGTACAAGAACTAAGTTCATGACAAAGTACTGAGCATACACAGACAACCTTACCCATGCACTCATGTTTTTTTTCCCATCATGTTTTATTTATTTATTTTTTTCATTACGGGTACCTGTCATTTGTATTAGGTTCTCATATGGAATCTAGTTTTGGTTCCCAACCCTACTGCACCACTGGAATATTAAAAGCTGTAGTAGGAGTGATTTCACTAAGCCTTTATCAAAGGAACCACAAAGGGTTCTCCTACAGGGACAAGCCGAAGAACCCTATATTGTTTTAGTTGGCACTGTTATTTCTAAGAGTTGAAGCCTTGGGTTGTGTTTAACTGGCATCTTCAGTCATTTGAGAGTGATACCTTTAGAGAAGAGAGCTAACAGCCCTGATTCAGCACTTGATTTTATTTGCCAGTTAGGTGCAATGATGGGGGTCATTGTCCCATATGTGGATATTGGCCACACTGATAAATATCAGTCCTTCACAGTCCTTTACATTTGCATCCATTTTGAAAACAAAACCAAAATAGCCAACAAATGTAATTCAGGAATAATTGGCTGAATGTGTGTTATTACTGCAGCACAGGATGGGTGGCCAGCTTCAGTCTTTGTGACGTTAGCTCTTCTGGCAATTGTCATCCTCTTTATGTGACTGAAGTGCTTTCTGTTTGCTGACCCAGGGCCTTAACAAAACAGCCGGCCCATCCTAATATGATTGGATGGGCACTAGCGATCCAGTTTTTTCTACAAAGGCAGATAAACTGATACCTGCATCTATGAACCCTGTTAATTTACGATGCATGTGTTGTGCCATTTTACCCACGGCTATAAATTACACTGTGACTTCTGGCAAGTGATGTGGAGCCCAGAAAGGAGGGCTGGAGACAAGTATACCCCCTTAATAGACTTTTACTGTTAACCACCAGATAACCATCAACTGATAATCTGTCGTATCCAAGATTCTTAATGAAGCCCAAGAGGCGTGCAACCTCTCCCTGAACAGCCGCCACCAAACAGAGAGGTGGAGCAGCTTCACGATTACTTTCAGTACTAGAGTTTTATTACAATGCCATTCCAAAGCTTTTGATTGCAGTCCTGTCAAATCAAACTAGGAGCCTGAAATTAAAACACCTTGGACTCAAGATACAATTTTCTGATTCAGAAATCCATAATACACCAATAAAATATCAATGGAAAGCATTTAATTAACCAGTGAGAGCGTAGAGGAAATGTGAATATTATGCTAAGAGGAGTGGGATCATTTCTACCACATACAGTATGAGTCACTGTGTGGATATTTTGACATTCGTTTTACACAAGTCAAACAAAGCTCAATCCCTGTCTCTGCACACAGGTTCTAAGCCAGTTCTTAATGCTCAAGCCTATTATTAATCAAAAGTGGGCGAGACCACCTACACGGTGGAAAGTGAGCGGTGCAAAAGCATGACAAAGCCCTTCAAGCTTTGTTCTCCCTTTGAGCAGATTAGATAATCATCCTGGGAATGTGAACGTAATAATACAAAAAAATACTATCCCATGTTTGGATGCATTCCTCTTCCTTTCCTGTTTGATTTGTCTGTGTCAGCATTAAGGAACGGTCCTTTTAGATCATCGTCCGCACAAAACTAACCCACATGGATTACACTACCAGTGAGTGAACTGCGTGGTCGCTTTTAGGTGTGATTGAATTTTGGCCTTCTGATGGGGTCCGATGAGGAGAATACCTCCTCATAATCAGATGACGGATGGCAGTAGGAAGATTCAGGCAGCCAGTGGCCATTTCATTACCCAGGCTCTCTGTTGCCCTGGCTGGATATTGAGCGGTGGAAACGATGCAGAGGTGGAGGCAGAGTGGACTCATGGGAGCCTGGGTGGACAGAAGCAAATGAGGAGAGAGGGAAGAGGATAAGAGCGAGAAGAAGAAGTAGAGAATAGAGATGAAATAGAAAACTGGGCTTCCTCTGGGTGGCACTATGCCACATCGGTTGTAGGGAACTTCCAGGGCCCTCTATATCCTGACAAAGGATACTTAATATATTTATGGTCTCAAAATGAATTTTCTAAAAATCTAAACGCTGATGTTAACATGCTCAGTACTGGTCCATAATATCAATTTGGATTGGATTGGTACATCCCCAAGAAAAAATAAGATCAGAAAAAAACCTGTGTTCCATCCTGTCACAATGTGATCTCATCTCTTCTCTTCATATTATGGTGCTTGGGCAGAAGCTCCCAGCTTTTATACACTGAATCTAGATGCAGGGGGGCAGTGGTAGCCAACAAAACTAGTTGGTTAGGGTTAGGAAAAGATTGTGGTTGACGTTAGTTATGAAAGTTTACTCACGTAACTAACGACTCACGTGTCAACATAGCTTAATGTTGAGTTTTATTTTCACACAGGACATGAACAACAGTCTCCTGGGTCAAAGTCCTGGGCTTGTTGGACCCATCCACCTCTACTCCCGCCCGCCCTAAGCGGACTCTCTTGCTCTTTATACTATGTCTGGTGCTCTGACCATCTAATAATGACATGGCTTACATTGGAGTTGGATGAAAGCCTGTTGCATCTCATACAGCAAAAGGGTGCATTATGCATCTGTATGTGACAGAGTGCCACTGACTCAGCAGCTTTTGTTCATGCTCTGGGCTGCCCTTAAGCTTGAAAGTTCATTCCTGATAGTATTTCAACAGATAATCTTAATTTGAGGTCCAATAGCTTGTTTTGTCAGAGCCTTCATTTGTTTCTCATGGTCTTCATCAGTGAATTTCTTGCCTTCAATCACTTGTTTTTAAGTGATTAAAGTTCCATATGTAGATCACGCGATGACAACTTAGCAAACTCCATGACAACTGAGGCAATGACTCAATGAATTATAGTTGAAGGCTTCAGAAAAACCTGGTAAGTGGACCTTGATTAAATGTCAAATTATATTTTACCACTAAGAGTGAGGGTTCTTTCATCAATCAATACTAATGATTTCTGCCAGGTAGAAGTCCAAAGGGAAGCTAACAATGGCAGAGTCTGCTACACATGCTAAAAGTGAGGACATTGTTGCTAGCTAACTGCTAACACTGTTTTCATGACTGAATTTGAAAATAAATTTGAGCTGATGAAAAAAAAAAAAAAAAAAAAATGGAGACGAACACCAGAACTGGAATCATCTGTACAAAAGGTGACCAACTGTGTTGGAACATATCTGGGTCTTTGATGAAAATTATTTGTCAGTAAAGTTTCTTCTCTGTGGTATGGTTTTATTTTTCATTAGTTTAAATTGGTTAATCTTAGGATCCTTGACCAATTTTAATTCATTTTGGCAGTTGTGCCTGTTTTGTTTCCAATTGCAACAACGCATTTTGAAATTACAACAGCTTTGATGTGCGTTCCTGAAAAGCCTCTTCTCCAAAGCAATGGTGGCTGAGGCTCATGGGTGTCATGGTAGGGGAACACCACCTGAATTAAGAATTCCAATATATTATTTCCATGACCTAGAAAGGTTTGTGAATATCTGAACATGAGCTACTCTGTCTCAGAGCTAGACACCAGGGAAATAAGTCTCAAACTTGTGATGTCATCCAGTATAAACATGTCTGGTTGTGTTTAGAAGCTCTTAATGAGGATTTTTAAGGTAAAAAGTGCCGCTTTTCTCTGTTACACTAATTTCCTGGCTACACTGATGGTGCAGAGACGCCAAGATACGGAAGACATAGAAACACTGACCAACCAGAGCAGATTGGGCTTTTTCAGTGGGTGGGCTTAAAGAAACAGGTTGAGTACAGGTGTTCTGGCACAGACAGTATGAAAATTGTGACTTGACCATTAAAACATGTAAATGTTCTACTATAAACCTTAAATACAAACATGAACCTTAAAATGAGCATAATAAGTCCTAAAGTAGATAACACCACAGCAAATTGCAGGAATGATTAACCTCCTGTCTGATCAGGTGAGAGGTTAATAAATATTTCACTCCAAACATGCTCCATTCTTCTTTTGTACTTTTCTCAGACGCTGCACTGTAAATGATCTAACTGAGCAGAATTACCATGAGGATAATCTATAAAAGCAAAAGAGGCATGACTGCCATGGGTGGATGAGTGGATGTAGACGAGAAGGAGGAGGAGGAGGACTGGGAGGTGGGAGCCAGAAGAGGAGGAGTGAAGTGGGTTTGAAGGGCAAGGAGAGGTGAAGGAAAGAAATGAAAGAAGGGGCAGATGTGAGATGCTGCTGGTCTCCTGGATACACACACACACACACACACACACACACACACCAAAGCTTGAACGATCTGTGTGGATGATGAAGAGAGGAGGGAAATGAGGAAGAAGAGAGCGAGGCGGAGGGTGTGTGTGTGTGTGTGTGTGTGTGTTTGGGTGTATGTGTTAGCAAGCACATGCGCGGAAGTGGCTGGCTTTGGCAGGGTGATGGATTGCCTGTTCTGTGCCACGCATTTTCTAATCAACCCACAGCCACATCCTGGGGGTGGAGAGAGAGAGAGAGAGAGAGAGAGAGAGAGAGAGAGAGAGAGAGAGAGAGGGAGAGAGAGAGAGAGAGAGGAGTGAAACAAAGAAAAGCTGTCTGACAAAGGAAGACAAAGGAAGGAGAGAATAATAGAGAGAAATAGATAAAGGGAATGCAGTTCATAGGAGCAGAGTGGAGTGGCTGGAGGGTCTGTGGTAGGAAAGGCTGCTTCTGTTGCTGCTGCTGATGGTGCTCAGGCTAAACACACTCACACACTATTACACAACACAACACACTGCAAATAACACCGCCCTGTGAACCACGCAAAGCCAACGAACCAGAACCACGCAACATAACACACTGTATCACAGCGATGTAATACTACACATCACAGTGCTGTGCATACAATTCAATTCAGGGTGATGTAACAAAACCACACACAATACACCACAACACAACTATACACATCACAATCTAATACAGTGATTTTCAAGACCAAACTCAATGTATTTACTCAAGAGTTAAAAAAATCCCTTATTGGCTGATATTACTATTATAACATAAACAAACGTGTTTAATGAGGATTGTCATCTATACGACACTAATCAGTTTAGTATTGCTAGAAGCATGGCTCTATAATGTTTGTCACTTGGTTGGTCCACCATTTAGATCCACACTGAAAATCTCAGTAGTGAAATATCTGCTCAAATTATTGGATGGAATGCTATGAAATTCCAACATATCCTCATACCACGGTCTTACAAAAATGCACACCAAGGTTTGTATGATATCCTATGAATTAGCACCCCACAAATTATGTTACATACTTAACATAAAGTTACACGCTTAACATAAAGTTATGGAGGTTTGGTTTAGGCAAGTATAGCTACTGTAGTTAGGTTTAGGAAAGAAACACGATGACTGCGGACCTTAAAATGACTCAGAGTTCACATGGTTCTGATCTCCTTGGAAAGATCCTGAGGGAAAGACCCATGTCTTCCTCCCTCCTTAAGAGACCGCTTCCCTCACTCAAATTACTGGCTCATGATTATGTAGGATATGTACCAATTTTGGTGCATTACTTTTCATAGGAAGAAAAGTGCATCGAGCAGCCTGGCAATTTTGTCATGGTCCAACATTACCCTCAGCTGTACTTTGTGCTTAGTGGTAAGTAGCAAACATTAGCATGCTAACACACTAAACTAAGATAGCAATCCAGCTGAGACATATACTGTATAGCTGCAGACACATTTTATTTGTAGCGTACATGACACCCCCCTATAAACCGAGCCCACCATTACTACAACACAAACTCACCATCCTGACGGGTATCCAAACTGTGCTACAATGAGACACTGCAGTGAATAAATATAAAGCCAAAAGAAGCAATAATCCGCTTTATAATCCATTATAAATGAACACGTGATAGTTAGCTATCAAGTAATTTTGTCGGTGCTTCCACTTCCAGGCCAAGGGTTGAAGGGGGCAAATCACGGACTGATGTGTAGATGTGTTGGGCAAGTCATGTAGCTAGTACTTGGGTTACGTAGCTGCTCCAGTTGCTGCTACCTACTCCACCCAGCAGGCCACCAATGTCTGTAGAGGTTGGTATTTTGTTGAATTCAGGTTGTGACATTCAGGTGACCAAAAATTCATTGTTAGGACAACGTTTAACACAAACGACAATTTAACATAGAATACTGACGACAGATATGACAATATTTTGTTGGTTTTAATTTGTGTTAAGTACCAAAAATCCATTGTCTTCCAAACATCTGCAAAACATCATGTTAACATCCATACAACATTAAATTTAATGTTGTTAGACATGTAAAATTTCATCAACCCAAAAGTCATTCCAATCAAAATATAACGCCTGTCCAACATAACAGATGTCTGGTGCCTGCTGTTAACAATGGTAAACATGACCTAAACATCAGAATGAGCTAAACCACTATGAGCATGTTAGCATGATGACACATGCATTAAGATCATGACACCACTGTGCCTAAAGAAGACACAGAGCTAGAACGGCTGTAGACTCTTAGACCTGTTATCTTAACAATGTCTCAGATGGCTACATATGTTACAGCTGCTTCTGTGATGAGTCCATAGAGAACTACAACCAACTCTTAAGCTCTGATAAAGCCACTGTACACTACCTGCTCAGCACCAAACAGCAGACAGACACAGTTAGGGACTGGCTGGGAACATAGTGGAGCATTTAACTGCTACAAAGACAATATTTTTCTCAGGGGTTGGTGGAGACCAAAAACAGAGCCAAAAGAGAGTGAATATTAGACTCACAATCAAAACATGAAAACAAAAACACAACTCCAAATGGATACTAATGTTGCTCTGTAACTGCTGGGTATGTGAATTGGCATGTGTTTTCTTGGTGGCAGGAC